TGCTGCATTACTGTGTCACAGCCTCAGACACCTAACAGTAACAGTGTTGCTATGTAACTGTCTTTCAGCTTCAACCACCTACAAGTGTTGCTATGTAACTGTCTCACAGGTTCAAACACCAAACAGTATTGCTGCATTACTGTGTCACAGCCTCAGACACCTAACAGTAACAGTGTTGCTATGTAACTGTCTTACAACCTCACACACCTAACCGTGTTGCTACGTTGTTGTCTTACAGCCTCAGACACCTACCATGTTCCTATGTAACTGTCTTACAATCTCACACACCTAACAGTGTTCCTCCGTAACTGCCTTCCAGCCTCAAACACCAACAGTGTTCTTCTGTAACTTTCTTACAATCTCAAACACCTAACAGGCTAACAGTGTTCTTCCGTAACTGCCTTCCAGCCTCAAACACGTACAGTGTTGCTATGTAACTGTCTTTCAGCTTCAGATACCTAACAGTGTTGTTGTATTACAGGGTCAGACACCTACAGTGTTGCTATGTAACTGTCTTTCAGCTTCAGATACCTAACAGTGTTGCTACGTTGCTGTGTTGCAGGGTCGGGCGCCGGTGGGGACATAGTGTTTAGCGTCGGCGTGCGGGCCGTCATTCAGTGCCAGTCCGCGCTCGAGAGCAAGCAGGAGGTGTCCGAAGTCAGCTGGCATCTCAACTCCACCGTCATCGCGAGATGGGCGAAGATCGGCAAGGTGGTGAGTATCGTCGTCGCTCGTTAGGTATCATCGCTCGTTAGGTATCATTGCTCGTTAGGTAGCGTCGCTCGTTAGGTATCATTGCTCGTTAGGTATCATCGCTCGTTAGGTATCATCGCTTCTTAGGTATCATTGCTCGTTCGGTATCATCACTCGTTAGGTATCATCACTTATTAGGTATCATGGCTCGTTCGGTATCATCACTCGTTAGGTATCATCGCTCATTAGGTATCATCACTCATTAGGTATCATCACTCATTAGGTATCATTGCTCGTTAGGTATCATCGCTCGTTAGGTATCATCACTCGTTAGGTATCATCGCTCCTTAGGGCTTGTTGCTTGTTAGGTAACATTGCTCGTTCGGTATCATCACTCGTTAGGTATTCTCACTCGTTAGGTATCATTGCTCGTTAGGTATCATCGCTCGTTAGGTATCATCACTTGTTAGGTATCATCACTCCTTAAGGCTTGTTGCTCATTAGGTATCATTGCTCATTAGGTATCCTTGCTCGTTAGGTAACATTGCTCATTAGGTATCCTTGCTCGTTAGGTATCATTGCTCGTTAGGTCTCATCGCTCGTTAGGTATCATCGCTCGTTATAGATCGCTATCGGCGCTTCCCTCATCTTCCTCATGCCTCGTACAGACTTCAGTTAAATTGTTTTGGGCTCCCACCTCGACTAAATTGTTAAGCGCTTGCCAGGACCACTTTGCGAGGTACCTAAACATTTGGTATTGCCTCGTAACATGGGGTGCCTCGTAAGACTCTGCAAGCAATCTTTATACGACCTCCTGCCTCTTCCTAGCCCCTCGGAAAACCTTCATTTTACTTTATACGGCCTGACACTTCCTAGCCCAGACAGAAACCCTCTATTGCACTCTCTATAACCTCCGAACTCTTCCTGGTCCCTCAGACACCCTTTATTGCAACCTGCGTATGGTGACACTGCAAATTTGACGGTCCTGTGCTCAAAAGTAACCAGTCCTGGACCACCATCTCCAACACTGCTCGCTGTCTCAGTGCTAGCCTGGATTCTCTCAGCAGTTGGTGGGCGAGTGGGTGAGGGAGGAAGAGGTTGCCATGGGGATAAGAGTTTGCCCGGGCATGCTGTGTGCATGGCAGCGGGGGAACGTCACGTCGGCACGCGACGACAGAGCTCGTGGCGCCATCTATGATCACGTTCTCTCACTCACGCTCGCGCGTTTCCGATCCTCGTTAGCTCTGTGCACGACCGCTGCGCCGCGAGTGCTTGCGGCTCCATCTATGATCTCGCTCGTGCGTTTCAGATCCACGGCCCGCGGCACGGTATCGACGACAAACATCGGCTGGAGATAAAGGGGGTGAGCTGGGACGACGTCGGCATGTACGCGTGCGGCACCAACAACCAGGCGCCCGGTCCCGCGCAGAGACTCATCGTGCAAGGTGAGCCCGCGCGTCTCGACCCCGAGCCCGTCGGCCCGCCGCGTCTCAACCCCCTAATCCGAGACCGTCTCACCTCGTCCGACCCCACCTGTTCACGTCTAGACCCCGCCTCACCTTGGTCGACCCCGCCATGCCTCACCTTGGTCGACCCCGCCATGCCTCACCTTGGTTGACCCCGCCATGCCTCACCTTGGTCGACCCCGCCATGCCTCACCTTGGTTGACCCCGCTATGTCTCACTTGTCGACCCCGCCATGCCTCACCTGCGCTCGACCCTGCATTGCCTCACCACTTTGCGGTCGACCCGCCATGCCTCACTTGGTCGACCCGCGCCATGCCCTCATTTTGGTCGACCCTACCATGCCCTCACCCTTGGCGACCCCAAACATGCCTACCTAAACATGCAGCTGTCTGTCGTAGATCCTGCCCCACCGCGTCTCGACGTGTCTCGACGTGTCTCGATGTGTCATCGACGGTGTCTCGACGTGTCCTCGAATCGGCTCACCGCCGTCTCGACGGCTGTCTCGACGTGTCTCGACGTGTCTCGACGTGCTCCACCGCGTCTCGACGTGTCTCGAGGCCGAGACCGTCCAGCCGCTGTCGTTGACTTTGTCTCACCTTGGGGTCGACCCCACCTGTTCACGTCTCAACCCTGCCTCACCTTGGTCTTGCCTCTTCGAGACATTCAGCTGGCTGCCTTCGACCCCCGCTTCACCTTGTCTCAACGCGTGTCCGTATCTGAGTGCAGAATTTTGCTCTTTTCTTTTTAACCCACCTGTCCGTCAATTTTTGAATATTCGCCGCCGGCCGGCGATTGTGGAGATTGCAGCGGCAAGTCTGGCGACCCCCCCCACCACGCCGCGCACGCGCCTCAGTCACTGTCCGTCGTCGTCGTATAGTGTTTTCAGACGTGCCGTCCGCCGCCGGGCGTGCCGGTCAGGGTGGCCGTGACGTCTGCGGACCGTCGACTCGCGTTGGTCACCGAGCGCGAGAACCACGGCTCGCCCATCACGCACTACGCTGTACGTGCGCGGTGAGGAACCTCGCTCGTGAGGCGCCTCTGTGCAGGGATTTTTTTTCTGCGCGTCTTCAAAGTCCTTCATAAGTACTTATTTTGCAAAAATTAAATAAGGGCCCTTATATAGTACTTATTTTTGTGATGAAATCTTCCCTAGAAAAGTACTTAATATCCTTATTTTTGCTAAAGGACCATTTTTCAACTTTTCTGTGTTGAATTTCGAGCGAAACGGCTTATATATAAATATTAATTAGTGTACTTTAATAGTCGTGATCTATCAGAATCACGTTAAACAAAGTCTATATTTGGCCTCCAGAAGAGTCGGTATAAGTTCCTTATTTTCACATTGTTGTCTTACTACTATGAACCCTTGCTCTGTGGTCGCGGCCGCGAGTCGCCACGGCCGCACTTTATTACGTGTTCTACCGCGCGCTACTTTCTAGTGTTCGTTATCGAAGTTGTGAGCGCCATCTGGTGCTCGTCGCCGAGTGGTTGCGGCGCCCCTCTGGTGCTCATCTCCCAAGTTGTGAGGCGCCCTCTGGTGCTCATCGTCGAGTTGCGCCGACGTACTCTAGTTGCTCATCGCTGAGTCGTGTGGTGCCCTCTAGGGCTTGTTTCTGTCGGGATAATACGCTGTAACCTGGATTTACTTTTCTATTGGTTAATATTCCTTTAAAGTCTTTATTAAATGCTTTAGATTGTGGAATTTACCTAGTGGCCACCTTCCTATTTTTCAACCCAGAGCTCTGAGTTGCTATTCCCCCACCACACCACACACCGACCACAGAACCTCCCCACACACACACGACATCACGCACACACACAACACCCCCACACACAGACGCACAGACTATGACAATCCGTTCTTCCGCTGTTTTCATGCCGAGCGCTTGGGCCGCATCTGGAACCGGTCGACGGAGGTGACGGTGGCGCCGTCTGCGAGCCCGCGCTGCCGCGTCGGGCGTCTGCGTCCGAGCACGTCCTACGCGTTCCAGGTGTTTGCGGTGAACTTGCGGCCGTCGGTCGCAGCCTGCCGAGCCTGCCATCCGCGCTCGTGCTCACTCAGCGCGAAAGTACGTGTGTCTACCTGATATACTTATTATTATTATTGTTATTATTATTATTATTGTTACCGTTACTGTTACATACTGGGTAGCGTTACGCAGCGCGAAAGTACGTGTCTACCTAATATACTTATTATTATTATTGTTATTATTATTATTATTATTACTGTTACTGTTACATACTGGGTAGCGTTACGCAGTGCGAGAGTACGTGTGTCTACCTAATATACTTTTTTTATTTTGCTTATTATTTTTGCTTATTACTTATTACTTATTTTGCTTTATTACTTTTTTTTATTACTTTTTTTACTATTTTATTTACTTTTTTTTATTTTGCTTTATTATTTTTGCTTATTACTTATTACTTATTTTTGGTTTATTTGGTCATTTTTACCAAAGGACACACTGTTATTACACAGCGCTGTTCACCACTAAGGGACCAGGCACAGAAAAACAATACAGTGACACAACGACTACGAAACATCTTTTTAAATACTTTCTCGTTTTCGTTACTCTTCGCCCAGCAAGAGTAGCATGTAGTCTGCAGCATTTGCTTGCTGTTGTGTACTTACTTGGCGGGTTGTCTGCATTATTTATCAATGTGCTGCAGCATGTACGTATTTGCCCTGTACGTTAAGCACCAATACAATCCTTATCTTAGAATAACCTTTATCAAACGTTTATAGAATATTTCCGTTATCTTCAACCATAAAGTACAGTAGCCCTTAGTCCCTGCCAGCGACCTACGTAGCCTTGTGCTGTCAAATATAAACACTCGTACGTTAACATGAATCAAACAACATTAAAGCATATATTACAACGTAAATAAAAAAACACATTTAAACACATGTTAAATCATTTACATCATAAATCAAAACATCTTAAATCGTGCGTGAAAACATATTAATTAAGACACATAAAAACCTGTAATCGTATATTTGGTGGTACGAGCCTAGCAATGCGAATTAATAATTAATAATGCATTGATAATTACAATAATTACGTTTGAGATGACGTACGCAGCCGACGTTATTTCGCGCGTTTTTTTTTACAAAAAAATTTGTTTCTGTACGTCGCAGGTCCTAGAGGAGTCGTGCGAGACATCGGCGTCGACAACGTCACGCAGACGTCCGTCAACGTCAGTTGGGTGGCGCCCCCTGCCGACGAGGTTCACGGCGAGCTCGTCGGATACAGAATCTCTTACCAGAAAAAAAACGATCAGATACTCCTGGAAAAATACGTCCACCATCCGATGCGGGTACGTGTCGCCATCTAGTGACGACAGTAGGCACAGTAGATGCGTTAGACAGAAGTAGGTAGTATTGCTTACTTTGTAGATAACAAGTTATAAAATATTAAATAACTATGCATGTATCTTTTTTATGGAAGTGATAATAATAATAATAATAATAATAATAATAATAATTCAGTAGCAATAGTAATTAGTAATGAGAAGTAAAATAGAAAGTTCTCTAACACTACCAATGAAGAACTAACGAACGCTGAGCCTACCGACTGCCCCAAGCTTACTTAAGATCACGCTCGGACCCTTGCCTCCCATCTCGCTCTCGCACGGTTTTCGTCGTAAAAAATAACGAACCAATAAGGCCTGCATGCAGTCTAGCGCAACAGAGAGAGAGCTGAACCGCGATACGTCTTTGCGAATTTTGCAATTGCTGACAGAGCGTGGTCCTGCGGGAGTTGGTGGGAAACTTCACGCCCTACGTGCTCACAGTGCAGGTGGACAATGGCGGAAACACGTACGGACCCCCCGTGCAGGTCTCCTTCAACACGTGGGAGGGAGGTACAGAAAATGTTAAGGCCCGTCCACTAGGGGGGTGGTGTCCTGGGTACGAACCTCCCTTGCAGGTCTCCTTAACACAATGTCTTCGGACAATGTAGGCAACCCCTCGTGTGCTATCATTCACGGACCCCTGCTAAATTTCAAACTGGAGACTCCGGTCTTAAAATGGGGCACGTTTATTCCGCCCAAGCAACTCTCTCTCTCCCTGGCCAAACACATACAACGATACAGGCATTCTAAAAACTTCGCTTAGCAACAAAAGTAAGCGCAGAATCACGTCATAGCGTGTGCCGAAAACGCGTGCGTTGAAAAAAACCGCGTTCACGGCTCGAGACCCACCAAAGCGCCGCCGCCGCACGCGGTCCGAGTCTCATTCGGCCAGGCGAAGCCGTATTGAAACCCTGCAGCGACCATCGCATTGCAGCTTCCGTCAGCACAGTCGGCGACCTCGCGAGTGCTGGAGCAGAACGGACACGTCAGATCATCGTGTGCGCTGCTACAACAGCGCAAGCGCCGGCCCGCCCGCCGGCACACGTCGCTTCAGCTACAAAGGCGTCAATGTGCCAAACGATCGCTCAACAACAAGGCAAGAACCTGATCGATCATCGTACCGCCGGACAACTACGCAGCTGCAACGATGAGAGAAGCTGCGGGTGGGTGGGGTTTGTAGAATAACAATAGCAACCAGTGCGAGGTGGGGGAGCTGCGTGGGTAACCATAGCAACCAGTGCGAGGTGGGGGAGCTGTGTGGGTAACCATAGCAACCAGTGCGAGGTGGGGGGAGCTGCGTGGGTAACCATAGCAACCAGTGCGGGGCGGGGGGAGCTGTGTGGGTAACCATAGCAACCATTACTGCGTGCGCGGGGGCGGGGGGTCAGCTCCGTGGGTAACCGTAGTAACTACTCGCTCAACAACAAGGAGAACCTGTCGATCATCGTCCGCGGCAACTACCGCAGCTGCACGATGGAGAAGCTGCGTGAGTAACCATAGCAACCGCTGCTGTGGGGGCTGGGAGCAGGGGTCGGCTGCATTGGTAACCATGGAATCCAACGCTAAATGGGAGACAGGTCGGCTGTGTGCGCAGGCGTAGTTGCTCCTGCGTTTTGCCATGTAACGTTGTTCTGTGACGTTCTGTAGGGTTGCTCCGTGACATTGTTCCGTGACGTTATTTCTTGACGATCAGATGTTGTTCCAAGACGTCGTTCCATGACGGTGTTCTGTGATGTTGTTCCGTGACGTTGTTCCGTGTCGTCTTTCCGTGACATTGTTCCGTGACGTAGTTCCGTGGCATTGTTTCAGGAGCGCACACGACATACCTGGTGCGCGTCGTGGCGTCGACCAGCAAAGGTCAGGGAGAGGTCAGCGACGTGCTCACCGCCGTGACCGACGTCAAAGGTACGCTCTCTTGTTTTCACATTTACGTTTGGCGGTGAGCGAACCGCGTTAATCAAACGCCACTAGGAATGTTGGTCTAAGTTTGAATGATGTCGACGTAAAATATGCGGGGGGTAATATTGTGAGAGGTGATCGAGTTTATATTTCTTTCTCTCAAATATTTAGTAAGAAATATACTGCATGTGAATATGATCTGGTATTTCAACAATTTTTATTTTATTTATGGCTATAATGGCACAATTTAGGTATGGAAATTAATGTATCTTTAGTACATAACTTTGAACCTTATTAGAAATGTTAATGAATTTCAGTGGAATAAAATCCAGCTATTTTTAAAAAACGGAGGTGTAACCTAGTGAAGTTTTATCCATGTGCATCATTCTAAAGGGCAATTGTGATTGTGCGTGCGTACAACTACATACGTGTGCGTGCATGCATGTCTCCATGAGCCCGCGCGCGTACAATCACCGACCTCCGTATCTGCGCAGGTCCCGGAGCGCCGAGCAATGTGAGCGCCAACTCGCTGTCTCCACACAGCGTCGCCGTTGCGTGGCGCGCGCCCACCCGCATCTACGGCACCATCGACTTCTACTACGTGCAAGTATGGCGGCTCCCCGACGCCACACCCACCGCCGCCGCCGCCGAGAGCTCCGGGGATGCTGCGGAGGATGAGGAGGATGAGGAGGCTGAAGAAGATGAGGGGAAGGAGCGCGCGGCGATGAGGGTCGAAGAGCCGAAGAAGCTCGTGCGGACGGTCGAGGTCGCTGTGGTTACGAGCGACGGCGGCCCCGCGCAGAAACAAGAGGTGCGCTGGATCTCGCTCGGATCTTTTTTGGTTCGGGAGTAAAAATGTTCGCTCTTGTCCTTCGCCTAACTTCACGGAAGGCTTCAGGTTCTGTTGCTGATTTATTATTGTTAGTAGTTGTAAGATATTTGTCGAAAAGTTATGAATGCCAATCGTCGATCGCGGCACGGACGTCCATCTCGGCGCCCCCTGGTGTCAACGCTCGTCGTTTGTTGTTGCAGCTGGTCGTCGGGGAGCTGGCCGCGTCGTCGCGCTACGAGGCGAGGGTTGCCGGCGTCGCCCGCAGCATGTACCGCGAGCAGCAGCAGTACCGCGGCGACTACTCACCCGCCGCACGCTTCACGACGCCCGAGGCACTGCCACGTACGTCTAACACGCGCACGCACGCACGCACGCACG